ACTGAAATCTGAACTGAGGACACAGACAATAAAATATTTTACACAGCACTGAATAACTGAATTGTGACGCAAGTTAGACATAATGGCCAAGTACATGGAATACAGACGTGGTGCATCATGTAGGCAGGTGGAGCATACTACACAGACTCCATCTTTGTAGCTGTGCATGCAGGTTTGGAAGCATAAAGGCCAACTGGTACTGTGTTAATTAAGTGGATCGTTTTAACCACAGGATGCATTGACATTATTGATTTATTATAATGTAAAATGTAAATACACCCACCAGGTTGCTCTGCTAGATCACACTGCCTCTGGTACAATGAGGTATTTATTTTGTTTATTTCTAAACAGAATTTTTTAACATAATGCCATGTAGTTTTTTCTTGTTGGATCTGTCCCTCATGTTAAAAATTAAACATCTCTCAAAGCTCTGTGTGTGTTAGCCCTGCTGCGCATGGAAGCTTTAGGCCCTGATCACACAGAAAGCGTTTTACCAGCTATAGGCGGCTCTTAATAATTGTTTTAAATGGGAATTAAACTGTTTGCTTTGCTATGTGCCTCGCATTTCTGTGCTCTAGGTCCCTGGGGCCGTATTCACAAAGCTTTCTAGTACTAAGAGTTGCTCCTAGTGATGAAATTCCAAGAAAATTCTTAGAATTTCCCCTTAAAGTTAAGACTAGGTCCTTGTAAAGATAAAAGTTATTCACAAACCATCTTAGCCCTCAAAAGAGCTCCTAAGGTGAAAAGCTGTTAGGAGCAGGGAGGAGGATTTTTAAGAGGCTTACGAGTTTCTTAATCAGAGGAATAAAAATGGTGGAAACACAAAGAGGTCGGAGAATTATTTTCCAAACACTGAATGACAGGGAGTAAATGAAATGCCATAGATTAGATTGTGCAGGGATAATATTTGTGTCAATCTAATTAGGGACATGCACGCCTTTCCCATCTAATACAATATCATTATAATGGCAGAAATAAAATGATCACCTCACTAAGATACTTGAAAAACTGGAAAAATGCAACGGTGCAGCAGTTAAGACTTGGGTCTGTCTCAACCTTCCATCAGCAGTGATCACACTAACACTGACAACACTTTCACGGTCAGCAGTTCATTTCATTTCCACTGAGTGTCCACACCTTGCAGGCTCACAAAAGGGCGTGTCTCTGACAACCAATCACATCTGTTAAAAGCAAGCATCACACCTAGCAACAGGGTCGACCACACCCCCTCACTAAGGTTAAGGTTTCTGTCCCTTCCTTGCTCAGAGTTGCTCTGAGAACTTTTCTAAATCACTCCTAAGCCAGGAGCTTACTAAAAATTTTTACACTAAGTTAGGAGTTCTCTGAGAGTATTCTCAGAGTGTTTGTGAATATGGCCCCTGGTGTTTTTGCCATTGCGAACTTAACTCCTCGACTTGAAAAAACTCCAACTCAGAGCGGAAAAGCGCCCCACGTCATCTCCACTTTTTTTTCCCACTGTCCAATTGGATGATTTGAGAGATGGGCCTCTGTGGTGGTCACGACAAAAAGTTTACATTTGGCCAACAAGAGAGGAGAAACTAGTGGTAGCAGTTTGATAGATACTTAGAGCAATAAGACTTTAAAAACCACATGATCTTCAGTGGAAAACAGCAGGTGTGGAAGTATTTAAGTGCAGTACTTGGCATGTTGATGGCATTGTTGAGGTGAAGCTCCTGGACCAACTTCTGGTATTACCCATGATCCACCCTCTTTTTTAGGGTCTCATGTGTACAGACTCTGTTTTGGCCAACAAAGTAATAGCTATAGGCACACCATAATATCTGATTGGACATTGACATTTTCCCTTTTAAAATCTGCAGCCTCAGTCTTATAAATTCAAATAAAACTTTAGAGCATTACACTGAGATTTAATTAAAGGCTTAATTAGGATATAAACGTTTTCAGAGAAAATAGTCTCAGTACTAGGAAAAATCATTTTATGTAATCAAACTCCTGAGGGGGATTTTTTGCACAAGATCCTCTCCAAAGTTGAGGTCAGAGCAATTAGACTTCAGCAGAAAATTTCACCACAAATTTAAAGAGTTATGTAACACAGCTGAAAAACTCCATGTTGATGCAGTGATGTATAAGTTCACTCAGTATGTTTTAGGAACACTAGACTGTAAACATAATGGATGTAGCTACTGAGACATAACCTACTGGTTTGTGGACTGTTGTTTTGAAGCCTCGAGTTAAGGCTGTCGCCGTCTTGTTTTTTTGGAGCCAGAGGTAACCAGAGGCAAGAGGCTATTGGCAGCAGCCTGTCACTCAAAGCAGCTGGCCCTTTATTATGTGTAACTTTAAGCCTTAATAAAATGTAAACAGGCTAGCTATATAAAGGTTCACTCCCTGTACAGTTGTCATGAATGTTAAAATTAGCATTAGAGACCAGGCTGAAATATAAATTTGTCATGAAGGGAGAAATTAATTGTAGAGACCAAAACAGTTTTATTGTACCAGGCTGTAAACTCCATGGGGATTGACCCGCTTCTGGAGCCAGCCTCATGTGGCCGTTCAAGGAACTGCCGTTTTTGGCATTTCCATGTTGGCTCCATTTTTCAGCCCTGGAGGTTGAGCTTGCAGGTGCAGCAGACTTCAGTAAAGGTGCTTGGTGTTAAATAATGAAAGACACAATCCACAGAACTTGCAAACATCCAGAGGACAATCTGTTGGCAGATTTTAATACTTACAACAAACACAAATTTAAAAAAAGACAAGACACTTATAGAAACAACAAACATATGACACGCAACAAGTACATACCGAAATTGGAAACAAGTCACATTCACAGACACGCACACGACGCGCTCAGTGTGTTTTCCCATCGACCCGTAACGCTGTGTGTGTATTGAGGCAGTATAGCTGATTGTATTTCCTCTGCAGCAGCTGATAGCTGCTGTGACCGCCTGCACCTGTCACTGTACATCCTGCCTCACAAACACACACACACACACACACGCACACACACACACACACACACACTTTAACTTGAATGCAAACAGGGAAGCCGAGTCTGGTTGACTGAACAAGCACAAAAAGTCTCTGTTCCGCGGGCTTCGTTTAAAAGGTTAAAGTTGCGGTGCAAATAGAATCACATTTCCTGATCTCATTTTATTTGTTGACAAAGAGCCTTTTGAAATAATGTTTTTCCATCTTTTCCAGAGTTACGCTAATTTCTTACATGCCACATGAGATTACATTTGGTTTTTGGATAAATGCTCTGCTTTGTCAACAGCATGCAGCTCGTGGCCTGTCACACTATTTGGTTTTTTAACCCATCTGGCCACTTGACAAATCACAAATTCAGTTGGTGTGTGCAAATGCTAAGACAAAAAACTACAATGCAGGAGTTGGCACTGTTTAAAGGAAGAATCAGATTAGCATCCATTCAAACAAACTGTGTCTGCACTGCTGTTTTCTCTCAAGAATGAAATCTACAAGTGGCATCAAAAACACTGGATTTACTAGTAATTTCTAACTGAAGAATATAAGAGTATAATTTTATTGACGACAAATCACAAAGTTAGCGAAATGATCATGCTTGTTTGGCCCAAATTCCATCAGGTTGTTTGTTAGAAAGCAAGCTGTGCTACATATATTAAACTAAATTGGACTTCATTTGTTTGCTACTATGTTCAGCACATCTTCCTCTTTTTCTTATGTTTCTCTGCTTCTCTCCTGTGATCACACACCGACACACCCATAGCTAAGTGACAGATTTAAACAGTACAATGTCAAACTTCATTCTTTTACTCACAAAAAATATCCAACAGAGTATGAATAAATATTTACAGAGATGAGATGACATTCATGTGAGTCTGATGGAGGTAGAAAGAAGAATCTGCTCCTCTGGTGAAAAGCTACACACTGTAAAACTTTCAGGTTCAACAAAGCAATTGTCGTCCCAGACAGACACGTATAACATAAAATGACTTGTTTTGAGAGTAGACTTGTGTTTCAGTGCTGTTTAAACTCCACACATATTAACAGACATGATACAAAACACACATAAAAGGCACAGTATGTAAGATTTAGGGGGATTTAGTGGCATCTAGCAGTGAAGAATGCAGATTGCAACCAGCTTAAACCTCTCCTGGTTATAATTCCTTCAGTGTTTATTGTTCAGATGGTTTTTACCTGGAGCCAAATTGTCCGCAGAGGTTTCCTCCTCTCCAAAACAAATAGACCAGGTGATTGAGACCAGTTGAAACACTGAATAAAGCTGTTTCTCCTATGCTGTTTGGCACGTCACAACATCTGCCAATGTGTGCTCACCTTATATCTAAACCAAACTTTCAGGAGGTTTTTACCAGGAGCCAAATTATCCACAGACGTCTCTTCCTTTTCAGAAACAAACAGACACGGTGCTTTAAACTGGTAAAAACACTGAGTAAAGCAGTTTCAAGTTAAAAAGAATCAGTGTTTTTCCAGTGCTCTTGTGGTAGAGCAACCCTCACTCTGAGGTCGTCGAAATCTGGCGCTTGGGCAGTGACTTTTGGAAAGAGACAGCCGTCCTTTAACGTGGGCGTTATATGTGGCTGGTTGCCTCGGCGGGGTCAGAGGGAAACGTGGCGGGATAAGAACAAAAGTTAAGGTGGCAAAAGTCTGAGTAGGGTCGGCGGGAGGGTTGGTGGATGGGTCCAACAAACACCGACTTTGACTCAGGAGAGCGGTGTTCTTGTGCCATAAGATTATACAGCCAAACCCTGTTCTTTTTTCCTAAACCTAACCACATGTATTTGTTGCCTAAACCCAACGTTGTATGTTAGTTGTTGGAGGAAAAAAATGGTCAATTTGCGGTGTTGTACCGACGTAGTACTTTATTTTGAAAACAGAAGTGTATTTTGAAAGAAGACAATGCATGTAACAGGCAGATCTTGACACGGCGTCCCAGGACGTCAACCACCAACACACCCAGGGTACCTTTCATATTGTATCTGGACGTGGAAAGTCAATGACCCAACGCCGATATGTGACGAGGTCGGAGTGAGAACGTGTCGGGCAGAGTGGCTACTAACTACAGTGGCTGCTGTGAAAACTGGCCCTATCTAGAGCCAGTGTTTGGTTTGTCCATTCTGGGCTACTGTAGAATCATGGCAGTTCAATATGGCATTCTTTGTGGATGAAGACCTGCTCCCTATGTAGATATTAACGACTCATTCAAAGGCAATGAAAACACAATAATTCTTATTTTCAGGTGATTATACACTAAAGAAAACATACTTCTTATATTATATTACATTTCTGTCAGTATATCCCCCTAAATCCTACACACTGGACCTTTAAAACAATTTGGTTCTTTCTCAAGAACCAGATAAATTATTGAATTATTGAATTTAGAATAAAAAACAACAACAGTATTCAAATGTTAATCCAAGTCTTATACACAATACAGTAAATAACAAACATTCAAGGGCATGATTCAAGCTTTAAAATGCAGAAACAACAACTAATGATATCACAAGTAGACAAAACAACACATTTACTTCACACAACTGTCAATTACTAACCCTCAATACCTTAGAGACATTTTACACACATAAATTAAACATTTATCCATACATATACAAGCTGGGGAGATTATTCTATTTTGTAATTTGTTCTCTTGGAGTATCTGACTGTACATCGTCTCTATGGATACAATGTATGTCAGCTACTTTATCATCGTCATCTAATCCAAACACACTTCATAAGTCATGTATAAAAGTAAGCACTTAAAATATGTGTAATCTGACTGCTACGTTTTTACAGTGAGTGTGACAGGCAATGTTATGAAAACCAATCCCACTGCATGAAAATGATCTCCCCAGCTCTGTCTGACAGATTCCAATGTTCTCACTATAACAGAGAGCTAAAGCAGACAGGATGAAAGCAAAGAGTGGGTAGATGCTGATGTTTGGAGAAATACAGAGAGGGAACATATCTCGAGTGAATACGCGCTCAAAGAAAGCGAACACAAGAAGAGAAAGTTATGATAGTCACAAGTTTGGGTCTCAGATGTTGATCTCATAGACAAATATACACCAGTAAATGATATTGGACCAGCTGTGAGGTTTATCAGGAAGGAATGAAAAACAAATATCTAAGAAGGTTTTGATAAGTGAGCCTCAAATGAGTCCCTCTGTTTCAAATAAGACTTTTAGCCACAGGGCAAAACAAAATGTATTTTTAATCTCTGCTTCCCAGAGGTTTTGGCTGATTGTGCAGCATGGGCTTGAGACGCTAAAGTCCTGCGTGTGCTTACTGGCTTGTGGGTTTGTGTAGAAAATGATAATGATAATTCTGATTATCATACTGTATGGCCTCTGTGTGTTTTAGACTGCAGAGGCTTCAGTAATGTGGAAGCTTTGCAAGATTCTAACTAAATGGTCATTAAAGTTCACTTAAACTGTTTTTTTCTCTTCAGCTTTTTACTATGCGATGTGGGATCCTACAATGACACACAATTTTCGGCCAAAGTTAGTTTAAGCAGCCCAGTCTCATAGGTTCCTGCATATCACGAAAATGTTACATTTGCACATTTGCCAAACTGCAGATTTCTGTTCGAGACCAACAAGTAACATAAGCGTTTGTGTTTTTAGGCTTCAGTCATGTCATATCCATCAGCTGTTAAGCTCCAAGTATTATTGTTTTTGTAGCGACTGTGGGTGTGTTTCCCTTGGCTTTTAGGCTCCACGTGTGGGTGTTTTGTTGGGACTTGTCGTCGGACTTGGTATCACAAAAAGCCCTTGTTTTTTACCAAGAAATATCTCCTTTTCCTGGAAAGATGGAGCCTTCCGAATGGGGTATTTTAAGCTAAAACATGGTCTATTCCTTACCATTACCAGTTGGTTTTTGTGCCTAAACCTAACCACACATTAACCACAGCGTTTTGAAACTTGAAATGTAAAATTCCAATTTATCTGCTATGTAACAATGTGTATATGTAACGTATCCGACGTTCATTGCTGACATCTTTTCCGGTGATTGGGTTGGTTTTTTAGTTAGTTCGCATAAGAGATTTCAGTGGAAGCCGAGAATGTCCTTGCTTGCTTGCATTTTGTTTTCCACCGTTATCTCAAGATCACAAGTTAATTGTGTTGTTATCTCAAGAAAATGACCTTTGTTATCTTGAGATAATGAGATCATCAACTTATTATGATGAGGAAGCAAAAGGTCGTTTTGTCCTTTTTCTTATGCTGCAAACACCCTGGCGCCGCTGCAGCGTGGTGTGTCATGACACATCACGCTGCAGCTCTTAAATAGATGAACACACAAAGTTATTACTACTTTTACTGAAAGATCTGCACCTATGCAGTAGCTTAAAAGCATGTGTGGACACTCACCAATTAAAGTTGATTTCTCACCTGAAGAGCCAGTCACCAGAGCTATGACTCCTCAGGCAATATCTTTTTACCATTGTCTTTATAATGTCAGGACTGTGGGTTGTTTAGCTCGGGATATTTCTCGACCTCAACAACATGTCTCTCATCCATTCTTTGTCTCACACAAGACAGCAACAGAGTTCTCTTTGCTTTAATGGTGAGGAGAGGAGTTGAGCTGCCACGGGAGCAAAGAAAAAGAGCTGCTACAGGAACTGGTATGTTCAAACAGTTAGTGGGGGGAAAATGCATTTATTCTGGGCGCAGCGAGGCTGGAATACGACAGTGGCGTAAAGTGCAGTGGGGCAGCGCATCCAGGAGTGCCGGCACACATCTTGGTGCCGCTGGTAGGATAGGGTAGGGGCGTATTTATTGAAGCTCAGTGTTCACCATCAGTGTGTTTTGGCCTTGTGTGTTTGTCATCAGGAATGCCATTTCAGCATGCATGGAGGTCGTCCTGACAACTGAAGCCACTGATTCAAATTGACAATATCAGATCAAGGAGTACCCATTACTGAACAACATATCAGACTGTACATCAGTCGAGGTCGAACACAGGCAGAAATTGTTATGAATCCTCCCTCCCAGTAATGTGACCGCGGAACCAGACACTTATTTTCGAGTTAGCCATAATTATCTTGTGATCTCAACATAAGTTGTTTGCTTGTGATAAATTACCTTATTGTCTTTAAAAAATGGTCTTTTATTTTCTTGAGAATTGACATAAATGAACCCATTACCACAAGAAAACAACTTTTGTTTCCTCGAGATAATTGAATAATTAATCCGTGATTTGAAGATAACGGCATTAAAAATAGTAACTGCAAGCACAGCTGTTCATGAAGCACATTAGCCGAGTTTTCAATTGTAATGCTCTTGCTAAATGATACCTAAAACATATTTTTAAACTTTGATTGTTGCTTATTTTGTCATAAACATTACACATAGAAGAAAGAAAAATGCTTAAATAAAAATTTTCAGGTGCTTTAAGAAAAATAAGAAGACCATTTTCTTATGGGGACCTCAGTCACCCAAACCCAGCAGTCAGGGTCTGGTATAAAAAGGATTTTCCTAATTTACCGCTTCAGTAAAGGAGCATTTTGGAATTTCATTATCGAGCAGTCATTAAAACCTTTGACAGGAACAGCAGAATTGTTCGTCAACATTTTACTCCTGTCTTCGTCTATATTTCAGTAGCAAATAATAAATATGTAGTTATAATTTCTGTTTTTTAGTCTTCCTGGTCTGATATCATTATTATTCAGGCTATACATTTTGTTTACTTTTGCATTGTGAGGTTGTAATCCAGCCTTATTGTGCCCATTCTAATATATTTCATTCACAAAAAACATAAGTAACATTGACTGAAATAAACAGAATATTAAGTAACAAAACTAGAAGCTAAAGTCTCAACCCAAAACAAACATTCTGAGCTTCATCAAATTGATGTTCACAGCACGGCAATGCAAAAACACTGTAAAGTCTTCAATCCTAATTGGTCAAGCGATTGAAGCCAGACTTTCCTTACAGCTTCCGTTAGCAGAATTGTTGGCCTGCCAGTTTGTCAGGGAACCAGGAGCAACTTCTAAAACCTGCTCACAGCAAGAGGCCTGAGGAGCCAAAGTTAGTGAGCTGTCTTGAATAGAGCTTTCCAAACTGTCTTTCCATCCTGACCTCTGCTGAGCGTCCAGTCCCCTGACACCATTCAGGTCTGAGTTCTCTTTCATCCTGCCTGAGGGCTTGGAGTAACATTCTCTCTCCCTGCACCATCCCCACCCTCTCCTTCCTCCCAAGCTCCCCCTTTTGCCCCTCAAACAGAGTATCTCCTGAAAGGCGTGCCTGAAGTCAGGGCTGCGGCAGTAGATGAGTGGGTTGAAGGCTGAGTTGGAGTATCCCAGCCAGTTGAGGAGTCTGAAGAGCAGCCTAATGTCACCCAAGTTGAGGAAGGTCATGAGTATGTTGAGGATGAAGAAGGGTAGCCAACAAAATGTGAAGGTTCCCATGATGATCCCCAGAGTTTTCACAGCCTTGTGCTCCTTCAGACAGAACTTAAGACGCTTTGTGGCAGAATGCTTTCCTTCCCCTTTGTCTGTCCTTGCTCTGCTTTCTGCTAACTTTTCCTCCTTACCCATGTCAGTATCTCCTGTTTTCTGCATGTTTAATCTGTCTTCTCCTGCTTGTTCTCCCACCTCCCTTCCTGCTCTGAGTTTATTCATCGCCGGACTATCATCAGGATAAGTCAGCTGTGCAGTGTAATGCAAGTTATAGAAGTGCCTCTCCCTCCCTCTGATCTTCTCCAGCTGCTTCTGAGCCTCCTGGAAGACCCGGGTATACAAGAAGATCATCACCACCAGCGGCAGGTAGAAGGACACAATTGAGGAGGACACTGCGTATGCTGCATTGGTGTTGAAATCACAGCAGTGCTCGTTGGCCAAGCACTGACGAGCTTCCTCATCATCTGAAACCCACAACTTCAGATGGATGGGAAGGAAGGAAATGAGGGAGGCCACTGCCCAAACCCCAAGGACTACTGCAAAGGCCCGACCTCTGGTCAGCAGCAGGAGACAAGAGAATGCACACAGGTGAAGAATATTGTAAACAGGTGAGAGATGTTGATTTGATATTATTTTCGGTGTTTAAAACTGGCAAAATGTGTTCACTAGCTAACAAACAATCTCCTTTGCCTTGGCCACATTCTAAATTTAACTGTACTACTGCACAAAATTAGTATTGCATTCAGCTAACATTGTCAGATTCACGATGGATAATGAAAAAATCAATGCTGCAGAACCAGATATATCTCCTTTTTTATTCTATGCAATCTTCTTCCTTGTCAAAAAACACATTAACTACATTACCCACAGTGCAATGTGAGCAGAAAGTTACTGTTGCATTTCAGATGGTCATGATTTCAAAATCCCAGCTGCTGTATGAAACGAGTCTTGCATAGCTTGAGCTATCTTGCGCTGTGCAAGTGCAGGAGAAAGGTCTAGCTGAACCCATTGTAATTCTGCACTGAGGGATAAAAAGTGCTCTACGTTGTTTGTATTTCTTTAAAGCAATCACAATTGACTTGAGTGGCACTAAGCTCAGGGTGCAGCAACAGTGCCCTTGCAAAATAGTGTCAGAAAGGAATTTGTTTTGGTGAACATTTGCATGTAGGGAGGTGGGCCTTGATATAAAAATTGCTTAATCCCTGAAAAAGTAATCATTAAAAGCCGTTTTAGTGTGTAAATTGTTATATCAGAGGTTGTTGTTGTTTCATGAACAGTGCTAAAACAAAGCATTGATATTGGTCTGGTTATGTGAGACTAATTTCCGGAATGACAGGATTTAGAAGGTGGTAAAATATAGGAATTGTGTTACCTTCTGAAATAGGCAGCCATTGACTTATACCCACAATCTACATTCTGTGAGACTACTGTTGCTGTTAGGATTCAGCTTTGGCAGCATGTTGTACCACTGGACACATCCCAAAACATGATGGTTTGCCTTTGACAGTAGATGAAAACACTTGCCGTGTCATTACTGGCTGGGGTGTGGCCAGATGTACTCAACACTAAAGAGTTTGTAGTGCAGCAGCAGCGTTCCTCACCTTGAATGATTTTGTACTATTGCATAAGTAGGAAGAAACACTTGTGATTGAAAGTTTATAATTTAAATAATTGCTCTCCTTCAGTCCTTCAATCATACCTGGTGAGTAGCGTTGGGTAGCGGAGCGGTGAGGTAATGGCGAGGTAGCGGTCCAGAGCAATCACACACAGGGTTTCAATGCTGGCCGTCACACACAGCACATCAGCTGCTGTCCAGAATTCACACATGAAGTTTCCAAACTGCCAAGCTCCCAACAGTATGTAGCTGCAGCCAAAGGGCACCACAACCAAACCCATTATGAGGTCGGCAACAGCCAGTGAGGCAATGAAGAAGTTGGTGACTGTCTGGAGTCGCTGGAACCGCAGGATGGCTGTAATCACCAGCACATTACCTGCACAGGGGAAAAGATAAATTCAGAGTGTTGTAATTAAAAGTTATCCTCCAATCAATTAATTCAACAAACCATCAACTAAATGAAATAATGACATTTTTCGTAACTTACCAAAAACTATAGCCAGAACCAGGATGGCCATTGCAACACCCAGCAGCACCAGCTCTGCATCACTGTACTCTGAAGATCTTGCCGTCAAATCAGGGACTAGGGAGGAGTTGCTGTACTGTGATTGGTTAGCCAGTGCTGAGACAGCACTTGCATGTTCCATGATCTACAGTCAGGAGACACAGATTAATACAACTTTGGTCATGATTGATTAATACAGCACAGGAAAGGTCGAGTTGGGGTTTTGAGTCTTTCTTTTCACCATCTGTGATTTTTAATGAGTCCTTGCACGTTTCTGTTCAGAGACAGTCACTGTGCTTCAAAGTGAAAGTTATTCCACTGTCCAAATGAATGGAATTACACATGTTTTCCATCATATGTGATTTTGCTTGTGTTATATAATCTAAATAGAGTTAACTACTTGGATATGAACATATTCTTTCTGCTGAAGAGCATGCCAAGCTGTAGTGGAGCGGTATTTTCAGAGGGGCATTGGTCATCTGGCGAGAGTTTCTTTTTTCATTACAATGATGAATTTATGTGCTTTTTCACAGAGGAAGTTATGTATCCCTCTGTGTCATTGTGAGTTCATCGGGTTCAGTGGTCTGCATCCATATGAGTCGCTCACCCAGGGTGCAAACTACAGGGGGAGCCAGGAGGAGCTTGGCTGTGTAAAATGAGGCTATTACTGATGTATGACTGGTTCATGATGATGATCGAGAAGTTACTATGCTCATGTGTATGTGAGGACTTGATGTCTTGTAAGCAGCCTGCTGTGCTTTTGATTTAACATTTATACATTTGTGCATTTATAGGCTGTTTTGCAATTTCACCTACTCGTCTTATTTGTACCGATAAACCACAGAGTGTAGCACGTCACTCTGTAGAGCACAGTGTGCTCTGCTTAGCTGGCTGTATTGGTTTTTATACCCATGTGGAGCTTTGACGTGGTTGACTTATTATAATGTGCTAACATAAAGCAAGTTGGCCTACATGCTTGCAGCGATGACTGTCTTTTTGACAAACCTTCCCGAAGAAGGTGGCTTCCTGAAACCCATGATCTAGTTCACACACTGCTTTAACCTGCATGTTGCCATATAATATGTGACATCAGCTTGTGTACTGCTGATGCATCTAAGTTTCTCATATCCGGCTTACCATTTACGTCAGGTCTTCAGTCAATTCACGGCATACAAAGTATATTTTTGTTTTACAGTAGGAGGGATCAAATATCGACAGGTCCAGGTTTACATCTGGTTTCTGCACACACATGCATAGCATTCAGGTATATGCTGGGGAAGATGGATGACTGCCTTGGTGTTGGGGCTTCTAAAATACCATATGAGCAGCAATGGCAGAGCATAAACCATCATATTGCACCTCATTACTATGGGTGCACTGGTTGTATATTGCAGTGAGAGGAATACATACATATATATTGTGTGTGTGTGAATATAGCAGCACAAGCGACTCACCTGACTTGACTACATTTCCTATGCATTTTTATTAGGCATTACACAAAATGTATTCAACCTTTTTTTGGACAGGGTTGATTAGCTGCATGGTCTGGGTAAATGTTTATAATATGATTATGACTGGCTGCAGGGTGTCCATTTATTCCTGATAATGGACACCTACTAAGTAGTCCTAGCAAAACTGTCTATTCACCAGTCAAAATGAATGTGCTGATACTGGCCTGATCAGCCTATATCTAAAATGAGTGAGCATAACAACAGGTACGCAGTCAAAGCCTGCGTTTACAATTTATCACATATCTGTTTTCAGCACTGGATGTAGTCTTTCAGTCCCTCATCCTCTGAGCACCACAGACTGGCAACTGTAACACACAAGCTGGGAGAAGTACACTGCTCCTCTGAACTTACTGATATTTGTTTCAGATCAGCAATCATCACTTCCCATTCACTATTTGCAAACTTGCTACCTCAGGCTACGGCCGGCAGTAACCTTTCCCACGGCATATCATTTGACCATGGAAATCTTGATATTCATTTGGGGATAATGACATGGCTGGATAGCTGCTAGTCTTGCTGTTAAACATACTGTCAAATTGTATTTACTGTTTGTTAGCCGTACACGATGTTATTGACTGATACTTGTAAGCGTAAGATTAGCTTTATGACTCATAGCTTAGCCGGAGGGTTTTATGCAGGCCTCAAGGAAGTGTGCTGGGCTTTGAAGCCAATTTTCTTTTTCCCACAGACTTACACTACAAAGGGGACGTTTGTAAGTCAGTGGATACATTCTTTGTAGCATCACAACCCCCACAAAATGAATTGTTTCCCTATCAGGATTTGATCCATTCAGTCCAATAACATTTGGAGAAAAGCCGCACTGTTGAATCATTTTATCCCCATTTAAGTTAACGGAGAGTTAAAACGGAAGTAATGCGTTTGGCTGACAGATGTCTCTAGTGTGCCTGCTCTATAGGCAACACAATGCGGAAGCAGCACCCATCATCTGGCTAATTTAATACGCAGCAGCTGAGCTTTTTCAGCTTCATGTACCACTGAGCAACTTTGATTGTAATGAACGGGGCCCTGCCTCCATCACTGTATCCAGTTCTCGTTATACATCAATGGTTTTACTGGTTCAGCAGACTAGAAATATCTCCAGCTGCCAAGTCATATTTAATGAAATTCATTTCCATTACATTACACAACATCTTTATGAGGTGGGAATGATTGTGTGGTATAAGTCAAACCCTCAGGTGTTACCAGGGAAATGAGTTACGACTTGTGAAAAACTAGATATTGATTGCATGGTCTCAATGTTCTTTTTTTGTTTGTTTGTTTGGCAAGTGCCCACGGTATAAGAGGGATAATGCCCTGCCAGCTGACTGTATGGAGAAAGCCAGCTCTGGTTTCCCCTTCATCCATTAATTCCTGATAATACACCTCTCGTCTGGCATCATCACTTGTAGCTCTTCTACAGCAATGCCCAAATTCACATCAGACCTACCTGGCAATAATACAAGGTGACCAATTACTATTTTGACTGTTCATCTTAACATTCAAGGGATGGTACTATAAGAAATGTAAAGTAAGCGAAGGTTTAAGATGATAAGTGGTCCCACAACAGCTGCTCATTGTCTGACCTGTTTGTTTTACAGGTGGTGGTGTATTTATTTTTGTGTTGCTCTTATGAGAGGGAGCAGCATGTACAGCTTATGTTTTTTAATGCACCCCTGACTACCTCCCGAGGTTGTTTGCTCAACTGGATCTTCCGTGTGCATGCACACCTGGATTCATATGTATGTTGGCTTTATTCCAACACAATCAATTGCGCTGTAAAGAGCCGCTTTGATTCGTAAGTGTTTACCCACTTCTCCTGTGGTCAATGAGCAAAGTGTTGAATTTTGGGACGCATTTCAATTATTTCACTTACCAGTGAATCTCGTCATGGTCCACCATGACGAGATTATTTTTTTTTATGACAATTATTTCACAAGTGGAATAAATTGCGGCCCTCAGTAAAAGCCTTGCAGTGTCATTACATTACTGTGGTAATACAGCATAATTATCAGTGTTAGTATGCTGTCAGTCAGATGGTCTGCGGTCACAGAAGCTACTTTATGTAAAAATTTGTCACAAATTTTAAAATGTCCTCCACTCAACACATTTCCATTCAGCACAGACAGAGGTGCCAGGGTGTGAGGCAAATGATGGATCTGCTGGAATGTGGACTGCAGACTCATTTTAAAAATCAATCTTTCATTACTGATGCTTAGGAGGCTGTTACTTTTGGAATGGATGGAGCACAGTCTGCGCTGACAGACGATAATGTATTGCACACCCAATATTATGCCACATACACATAACCAAAGGAATGATTTCATCTTTTACTCATGTTTGCAAAATGTTCTAAGCTTTTGCTGCTTTCGTCATGAAGCTTGAGGCGGACCCTGCCAACCTTTACACTGATGACCCTGGTGCCTTGTGACTGTTGACTGCCCCCACTGATCAGATCGATAATCTGGGCGGCAACCTGCGCTAATACATCAAGCTTACGAAAGAGGCTGTATTCACTTTGTTCTTATCCTTGCCTGAGCTGTTTAAACACACACACACGCACAAAGAAACTTGACCAGCTCTCTGAGGCCGACGGCCAAACACAAAAGATTTACTGTGACATAAATATCCTAATATTTGGGCAAAGATAGCTTAGTGGTGGTAATTATAGTGAACACTTAAACACACAAAAAATGCACACAATAGTACATGCACAGACACACTGGCACACAAGTGCACGTGCAAACACGAAAATACATGTGCACGCAGAACACCCAGCTTTTGCAATTCTCGGTAGGATAAAGGGATGACAGCATGCCAAACTGTGAGCAAAGAGAGATGTCTTTGTAAACTTTGTGAAAGGCACACATGCTCTATTAACAGCTGAGCCATAAAACATTTTGCCGTCCTGATAAACTAAACTGTGGAGGTTCAAGATGAAAGCAAGTTTGGATTGAGTGAGCCAGAGAAACACCCTCACACTTAAACAACCTGAATTATTCCTGCTAAATTGGGTTTGGTCAGAGGTCTTGTTTGTGTGGCTCGTAGAATTAAAGAAAAGACAGTCAGAATTATGCCTATATATAATTTAAAAATATAATACCATATTTCAGAGGTAAGATTTTCAACATGTGTGGTAAACATGTTCACAAAATGACTATGACCATATGGTAGAAAAGCTTCAAATCTGACATTAGACTTCAGTTGTGACTGAATTTAACACTGACTTTTAACTGCCTCAGTCCATTGTCATTGGAAATTGGTGCATTTTACAGCGTAAAAACAATATGAAGTGGTTTAATAACTACAGCAAAATAACTTTTATTAGTTTAATGGCATCTAACTGACCTCTTACCATTTAATTGAACACCAACGTCCTTTTAATGCCACCACAGCTCTTAAAATAGCCATGGTGTGATCACGAGTGGATGTTTTTAAAAGTATATATATTTAAAGAACACACTGTATGCATGTAGACAAACATATGTAGACAAACCAGACTCAACCTTATTTTTAGTTTTCCTACCTCCAGGCTCCGTCCTGTGATTTACAATCCAGTGACTTGATAATCCAAACACCTTTAAATCCACAACACAAAGTAACATTATAATGTGTTTGTCAGCAGCTTCTGCTCTCTCTTCCTCTTCTGCTGAGGCACCAACGTCTGGTTGTGTGTGACATGCACACACACACACACACACACACACACATACACACTCTGCCTCGCTCTCCCCTTCCCCTACATGTATGAACACACTCTCTCAGCCCTCAAGCACACTTGCCCTTTTGAAGCAGCTGAGCCCGTCACCCTTTTTTTATAAGCAAGCCTTCATGACATCACAGCAGGACAGTAGCCTATCAGAGGCCAAGGAATGCCTTTTAGTGTATATCGCATGTCTGGCTGTACTGACACCTCGGCAGCACCCGGTGCCCTCTGGGAAATATTAGTTTTTTAACCTCTGTTTATTCAGGGCAAGTTTGCTGAGCTCTTTCTCAAACTGGAGCTGTGGTATAAAACCAGACTTCTGTTTTTGTCTGCTGGGTGGCTGTACCGCTGCACCTGAGCAGTCTTAAATATAACCACAACCTGAATGAACTATGTTAATGTTTTCATATAGAGTACTTCACTTTATCTTATTGAGACACTGCAATACAAATATTGTATTTACAGTCACAGTTAAGTTTTAAAGCGGCTAAAACAGAATGGGTCAAGGCTGTTGTTGTGGTTATGTAGGACAATTTGGAAACCACAGTAAACAAACACTTCATGCTGCATGTTGAATCCAGGTCATAGGATACAGCAAAGTACAGTACGTTCAGTGTGTGCCTCTTGTTTGTGCAAGATTTTTCTTTTAAAATAGGAATTGCTTTACAGTTAAGAGTAAGCTCAAAATTCTGAACAACGACTTGACAACCTGCCTGTAGTTTTATTTCAGCTTAAACTGAGTTTAACTGACTCTACTGAGCTGCGCTGGTCCGTGGCATAGGCAGTATAGGCAAATGCTAAAGGGACTCTCAACCATAGGGGGCGCCACAAACTGGGGAAAAAAAAACCCAAAATGTTTATCTTTCACTATTTTTACCCCAGCCAAGGAGGTTATGTTTTCGCTGGTGCTGGTCTGTTTGTTTTTCTGCAAAATAACTCAAAAAGGATTTTGATGAAATTTTCAGGAAAGGTTGATAATGGGACAAGGAACAGATGATAAAATGTTGGTGGTGATTGGTTGAAGCGAATTGGATAAAATAATAAAATGGCGGGAAATCCGAGCTGCTTGGCGGAGGTCTGCACTCTCCGAGTGCTTTTCTAGTTACTAATACTATTATTACTATTATTTTGAAATATTACGTAAGGTCACAAGTCACAACCACATAACTACATAACAAAGCCCGCTAAATAATGGTGAGGCCTTTTTGTTGTGTGACTTAAATTTGAAAGGACAGACACAAGAAGTGGCCACGCTCAGCAGTCAGACAGGAGTCATGATACAAACCAATCAGAGCCGACAGATATCTTTCCCTTCTTCTGTAAATATTCAGTCTGATAAATACGGAAAAGTTGATCATGTTAGTGCCCAGCGCCTGACCTCACGTTTTCCAGGTGGTTTAAGATGCATACACAGCCCCTAATTTTCAGAGCTGGTACCTGCGATTATTCCACATGCTAGTTCATAACATGTCGGGCAGGAAATCCAAAGTGTGGGATCATTTTGAGGAGGTGAAGGAAGAACCCAAGGTGATATGTAAACTCATCTTCATTGGTCGACAACAAACATGATGTATCATCTGAAACATGGAAGTAGCTACATGCCCATTAGCCACAGCGTCATTAACAGGCGGCTCGCTCAGTGTGTGACGTGCACTTGTAGATAAAATATAGGCCTATATTAATGAAGACTCATTAGTACGGTTTTGTATTTCTCTGTAATGTAATGACATACATTATCTTATTGTTCTGTCTGCCGTGCGCTGATGGTAACCTGCACACACACAGCAAAGCTCTCCCACACATACATCACCTGTTAAAACAGCTACAGTTTCATGCTGTGTCATTAATGCTCTTCTGTACTGATAAATGTGAGATATGTTTGTTTGAGTTCAACATAAGTTCACAAACAAGCACAACTTTATGAGTAATGTCATTTTTAAATGAAACCTGTTTATTTATTGAACTGTACTGACAAGTTCAGATATTTATATTTACATTTCTTTATATATCTGTTGCCGCACTTATCTATTCCAGGATTTATTTCATAGGCATATTTTTTTATTTATGTAATTATTTATTTAATATTGACTTAAATGGCGTTTCATACTTGCCATCAATGTGATGCATCATTATATTTAAACTTTGCAAAACACCCAGCTGAAGTGTTTTAGTGAGCACTCGTGTTAAAGACAGAGAGCACACTACATTTTCTATTTTTAAGGCAATAGCTTTCTGTTATTGTTGAAATCAACGCAGTCACACATTGTACTTTCCTCTGCCAAAGAAACAGGAAACACTTTAACCAAAGTGAGAACCTCACATTGTCTGTCTTTTCCTCTTCTCTCAGTTTCATTCTTTATCGCTTTTGCTTTAATCATCTCTTGAAGTCTTTTTGGGGGAAGTTTGCCAAGAAACCCAGAGCATCATCCCCGTGGCCAAAAGGACTGATAAGTGATAATGCTCTGTGTGACCATTTGAACACTGCAATTCATCTTCAGTGCCTGACTCAGTTGTGTTTTGACCACCCGGCGGCTGATCTGCAGTCATTACTGGTGAGAAACAGTCGCTCTGCTGGTGCAAGTGCAAGCTGCCTTCATCAAGTGCAGACTGCAAGCAGTTCATTTTAAGGGCTTTGCGCTCTCAGAGGAAACCACAGGAAAGGCAAAAATGAATAAAGTGGCATGACTGGTGAGATAACACAAGCAAACAGTCTTGTGCGTCTTGATCCAGCCGCTCTCCGCTTCAGATGTTTTCTTCCACTGCCTACCTATGGGAAAAGAGAAACAGTGCAGTCGGTATGGCCATATCCTCATGTCTGTTTAGCCCCAACACATTCCTTTCCGCACCTCTTCCTGTCCTTGTCCTATCCCTTCCTTTCTCTCCTTCTTTCCACATCCTCCTCTCCCTGCCACACCTTCTAATGCCTAAAGAATCCATCCCCTGATATCAGCGCTCTGCTCCCTATACAAAGCTCATTCTTGTCTGTAATTTGCTGTGTCAGAGTTGATCCTTGTCAGCTGTTCTTATTATTATTATCTGCTCTCTGCATCATCCTCGGCCCATTTCAGTGATGTTTTATTTACAACTTTGAACGAAGAAAGGTCTGCAGAGTTGTGAAATACTTTGGCATCTTTTAGGCAAACAAATTACATTTTAATTAACATAATGAAGAAATGTTCATAGTTCAAAGTCATTTGTTTTACTGACAATATTACTTCTTGCAATACACCAACTGCTCATAGCAACTAAAGTCCTACAGTCCTACAGTCCTACAAAACATCTGTTTTTAAGTGTTCCCTTTTTTGTCTGCTTGTAATGTTACTAAAAATGACTTTGAAATAAAAAACTAAAAACAGAAAATCCATCATTTTTGAAAAGAGATCAAGGCAGTCACCTGGCAACAGTGTTTCTACATTGCGCTTTAACATGACTTCAACTACTTAAAATACGACCTCATGAGTTCCATTTGAAGGGATCGTATGACGCAAGCTGAGCTACACTATGTTTTCCAGACAAGTGTTTGATTAGAAGTCAAGGGAAATTACTGGAAGATGACAGTCAGGATGTTGAGGCAGTTTGGTTCTCTCAGCTTGCCAGTGTGAGTCTGTGTCAAGGTCTTTTTCTTTTGGATTTCCTCCTCTAATCTCTGTTACTTTCCACTGAATCCAATACCCGGTAAAACTGGAAAGCTTGAAAACTTCTTGAGAAATAACAGACTGGCATGCCTCTGTATCAAGTGGCTTCCTCAAGTGGTGGGACCAATCTATAATGCAGCTGTGTTCACACAAGAATTGTGCAGCAGAAATGTGCTGATAGGCTGCATGATAAGAATTATTTTTCAGCAGACACTTTTATCAGAGAATGAGATGTCATTACCAGATGACATGACATGTTGTGTTACAGAGCAAAGCAAATGATCTGTGAAGCAATATTTGTCTTTGTCTCACACAATTTGTCACTGTGTCAAAAACAACAAGTCTTCCAACTCATATTACGACCATTGCTTGTTCCTATGCTCTAATACGACCCACAGGAGTATTTCCTAAGTTAGTGCCCCTAGAGGTGTCACAAGGCAGTTTAGAGGAGGACCCAAATGCAGACCAACAAACAGTTTGAGTCTTTAACAAAAAGTGAGCTTTAATGTAGCTGGTCGAAAACATCCAGTAAGGGCAGGCAACTCAACACAGGAACGACCACAGACAAAATGAACCCAGGATGAACAACAGATGAACTGACCAAGGACAAAAGAAAACACACAAGTATATATACAGTGCCCTCCAAAAGTATTGGAACAGTGAGGCCAATTCCTTTATTTTTGTTGTAGACTGAAAATATTTGGGTTTGACATTAAAAGATGAATATGGGACAAGAGATCAACATTTCAGCTTTTATTTCCAGGTATTTACATCTGGATCTGATACACAACTTAGAAGATAGCATTATTTGTAATGGGACACAAAATTTTTAGGTGAGCAAAAGTATTGGAACTTATAAACTTAAAATAGATTAAAGTGAATGAGACTTAATATTTAGTTGCAAATCCTTTGCTTTCAATAACTGCATCAAGCCTGTGACCCATTGACATCACCAAACTTTTGCATTCTTCTTTTGTGATGCTTTTCCAGGCTTTCACCGCAGCCTCTTTCAGCTGTTGTTTGTTTGGGGGGGTTACTCCCTTCAGTCTCCTCTTCAGCAGGTAAAATGCATGCTCTATTGGGTTTAAGTCTGGAGACTGACTTGGCCAGTCTAAAACCTTCCACTTCTTGCCCCTGATGAACTCCTTTGTTGTTTTGGCAGTGTGTTTTGGGTCGTTATCTTGCTGCATGATGAAGGATCTCCCAATCAGTTTGGTTGCATCTTTCTTTAAATTAGCAGACAAATGTTTCTGTAGACTTGTGAGTTCATTTTGCTGCTGCCATCATGTGTTACATCATCAATGAAGATGAAAGAGCCCATCCCAGAAGAAGCCATGCAAGCCCAAGCCATGACATTACCTCCACCGTGTTTCACAGATGAGCTTGTATGTTTGGGATCATGAGCAGATCCTTTCTTTCTCCAAACTTTCA